AGGGCACTGGGAAGGGGCCCCCTGGGCATGGGAATAAGGGGATAAGGGGACTTAGCTATCCCCAGCACCAGGACAGAAATGATTTTATCTCAGTAACCAGGGCTAGGGTACGCTTACACAAATAATCCAAGACAGTGGATAAATCAAAATCACCTACCACTTCCCCCAGAGGACTTAGTCCTGTAATTCTGTTTGGTTCCAGCTTTTAGAATGTACAGTGATCAAGCAGTGAGTCATTGCGGGGGTGGAAGGCATAAGAATTTGCCATCTACCTCAGTTAATCCTCCAGCTGAAATTGGAGAGGAGACTGCAGCAGTTTGGGGGTCGGGGGTGTGGGTATGAGGTACTAGCAGGCAGGAGGAGGGAGAGGGATCCAAAAATGAGGCCCCACTTGAGTTACAACCCTAAGGGGCCATTAGAAATTCCCTGGCCTTGACCTCTGGCTTCAGCAGCCTGGCTGTGCCCTGAGGCCCCAGCTCATGTTCTGAGGCTCCTCATTTATCCTCATTAAGCTGTCAACCTGGAGACCACGCCAGGCCACAGGGCAGAGGGACAGGGCCACAAATGCCAAAACAGCTACCTTGGCAGGACCTGTTTACCCTGAGATTTCTCTGTCCACCCCACAATCCCAACTAGACTTCACTTCCTGCCATTCCCAACCCCCACCTTAAGATAGGAGAATGGCCATATGATTTTGGACATGGCACTTTCCCCATTCTCTGCCTCAGTTTCCCCATCTGCCTTCCACCCAGGATTGTTTTAAGATAAACCTGTGGTTGGATTAGCATAAATTGTGGTCTGAACATCAGAGATGACATTGCTGTTTGTGTCAACTGCTCATGTTCCCAGCCCCCCACGGTTGGGCTTCTGTGACCTCCAGCCTCCAGTTTTGGTTCTCCACTAGTCCTGGCACTTGGGAGGGAGCTGACCTGCAGCTGCTAGCACAGACGACCCTGGGCATCTGACACTCTATAAATAACCAAGGCCCAGTGCAGCTGGAGGCAGGACTAGAAACCAAAGGAGCTGATGGGGGCTGGAGGCAGGGCGGGGGGACAGGGACAGAACTGGGGAGGCAGAGCAGCAGTGCCAGGAGCAGATAGGAAAGACTGCCCAAGCTTATTGTGTGACCTTGAACACAGCACTCAACATGGTGCCTCAGTTTCTCTTGCTTCCCATTTGTCTAACGGGGACAGTAGTGCCTGTCCTGTGGTTAAAGAGGAACGCCCATAACTGAGAAGAGTTTGAGGAACAAGAAATGGCACGTTATCAGTCCCATCATGAGGACCCCAGGACTTCCCAAACTTTTCAGAGTTGTCACCCCACCATCATGAAGAGTTTTTCTTTTATAGTTTCACTGCTCTCTAGGGTAGTCCTCCAATGTCCCCGAGAGTGATTCTTCCCAACCCCCAATGCTGTCCCCAGAATCCTTCCACACTGAGTCATCCGGCCCTGTGCCCATGATGGGCCCTTGTCACTCCAGGTGGCCAAGCTCCAGGTGCCTTCAGCACCTGGAGGATAAGCTACCATCTACTCTCTATATATGGTGCTATTTCTCCTACCCTATAGTCCTCTCAAGGATCTGCTTCCTATGCTCTCTGTCACAGTTGCTGCCCCCAGCTCCTTCCTCTACTTCCTTCCTCTACACAGGTCCTCTCTCCTTTCCACTCTGAAATCTCAGAGTCTCTGTGTCCTTGTTTTTGATGAAGAAAGAGAATAACCTGGCCGGGTGCAGTGGCTCATGCCTGCAATCCCAGCACTTTGGGAGGCCAAGGCAGGCAGATCACAAGGTCGGGAGTTTGAGACCAGCCTGGCCAATATTGTGAAACCCCATCTCTACTAAAAATACAAAAATTAGCTGGGTGTGGTGGTGGGCATCTGTAGTCCCAGCTACTTAGGAGTCTGAAGCAGAAGAATCACTTGAACCTGGGAGGCAGAGGTTGCAGTGATCTTAGATTGTGTCACTGCACTCCAGCCTGAATGACAAAGCAAAACCATCTCAAAAAATAAAAATATAAAAAAGAAAGAGGATAACCTAATATTTATGGAGTGCGGACCCTGTGCAGGCAGTGTGCTCAGTGCTTTCTGCATGTTATTTTACAATTTCCCAAACTTTGCTTATCATCAGAATCAGTCAGGGGCTTTAAAAAACAGAGAAGATTCCCAAGTCCCCACCCTACACATCTCAATTCAGTGGATCTAGCATGGAGTAAGAGAACCTGTTTCGTTTTATGAGCCTCACCAAGGGTTCTGTTGGTTAATTGAGTATTAAAAGCACTGCGTTATCTCAGAAGAGCCTTAAGAAGGAGGAAGTGTTATTGTTAACTCCAACTTGTGAAAGAGGAAACTGAGGCTTAGAGAGGCTAAATAAGTTGCCCAAGGTTACACGAGTGTTGAGTGGCTGAGCCATGGCTCAGACAAGCCTGACTCAGAGCTGATGCTCTTAACACCACACCGCACTGCTTCTCTCATTTTCCTTTGTTGGTGCTCATCTTGCTGTGCCCTTTATCTCGGTATTTGACCAGTTTTTATGGATCTTTTCCAAAACCCCCATGGTTTTGCCTCCTATTGCAAGCTCAGGGACTGAGTAGACATCCCTTACACTGCGCCTGCATTGCCCCCAGCTCTCTGCTGGCCTTGGCAGGGAGACCCTTGCTACAACCATGGTTGTCTTTCATAGGCCTGCCTCTTGGGCTTCTTGCTGGGAGTCTGCCTTGCAGCTGATGACAGATGGTATCACTGAGCTTAGTCTTTTTTTTTTTTTTTTGAGATGGGATCTCGCTATATTGCCCAGCCTGTCCTCCTAGGGTCAAGGTGAACTCCCACCTTAGCCTCCTGAGTAGCTGGGATTACAGGTGTGCACCACGGTGCCTGGCATCACTGAGCTTGATTCTGTGATGGGCTGGTCTTAGCAGCAGTGAAGTCTGGTTGGCCTGGTTCTTCCCCATCCCCGTACCTGGACCAGGCTTTGCTGTGAAGGAATCAGAGCTGCATCAGACCTGGCCCCAGCACTTGGAGTGCTCTCACGGGGAACAGGAGGACTTGTGTGCAGGTGACCTTCGGGAGACTAACCGTGCACGGTGCAGGAGAGGCCCTGCCGCTGGGGAGCAGAGCTTGTCAAGCTAGAAATACATATATTTTTTGGGTTTTTTTTTGTTTTTTTTTTAAACGGAGTTTTGTTCTTTTTGCCCAGGCTGGAGTGCAATGACATGATCTCATGTCACTGCAACCTCTGCCTCCTAGGTTCAAGTGATTCTTGTGCCTCAGCCTCCCAAGTAGCTGGGATTACAGGTGCACGCCACCATTCCCGGCTAATTTTGTATTTTTAGTAGAGACAGGTCAAACTCCTGACCTCAGGTGATCCACTTGCCTCGGCCTCCCAAAGTGCTGGGATTACAGGCATGAGCCACTGGTGCCCAGCCTGAATGCACATTTTTTACTGGAGCACAGTCTGGGCAGAAGATGATTGGTTGAGGAAAAATTACAGAGAATGTATAGAAACCAGGAAGTCTCAGTTCTTTCTGAGAAAAATCTTGACATCCTCTAGAGCCTCTCTGATCCTCATCCAAGGCAGACAAGGCCTTTTTGACCCCTGATCTCTGACCCACAGGCTGAGGCAGATGTGGCCTCCCTGAACCGCCGCATTCAGCTGGTAGAGGAGGAGCTGGACCGCGCCCAGGAGCGCCTGGCTACAGCCCTGCAGAAGCTGGAGGAGGCTGAGAAGGCAGCTGATGAGAGCGAGAGGTGATCAGGGGCCCCTGGGGGAGGACGGTCTGGGAGGGAGGAGGGACCCTGTCTCTGCTGGTCCTGACCCCGCACTCACCCTCTCGTGCCTCCCAGAGGAATGAAGGTCATCGAAAACCGGGCCATGAAGGACGAGGAGAAGATGGAGCTGCAGGAGATGCAGCTGAAAGAGGCCAAGCACATCGCTGAGGATTCAGACCGCAAATACGAGGAGGTGACAGCCTCGCCCCTCTGCCTGCTCACTGCCCAGCCCACAGCATACCCAGTCCTTCTCTGCTGATTTACCCTCTCTTTCTCACTCCCCACAGGTGGCCAGGAAGCTGGTGATCCTGGAAGGAGAGCTGGAGCGCTCAGAAGAGAGAGCTGAGGTGGCCGAGAGGTAAAGATTCCCCGGGGGGTGGCATGTGAGCCCCTTGGCACTGGGGCCGTCCATATAGTGGGGAGGGAGTGTCCTAGGCTTGGGGCCATAGGGACAGCCCCTGTTCTCTGACCCCTGCCCGCCGCCCCCAGCCGAGCCAGACAGCTGGAGGAGGAACTTCGAACCATGGACCAGGCCCTCAAGTCCCTGATGGCCTCAGAGGAGGAGGTAGCAACCCCTCTGAACCTTTCTGGGCAATGGCACCTTCTCTCAGCTCACCTTCCCTCCATCTCAGCACCACAGGCTGCTCTCTCCCAGCTGCTGGGGATTGGGAAGGGCCTGGGGCTTCTGAGCCCTGCCTGCTGTCACTCTCACAACTTTGCTCTTCTCTTCTCTCCTCTACCCGTCCCCCACTGTGCCATCTCCACTGTCTGGCTTCACTGTGCCCTCACACCCCGCTCCCCCTGCCACACACCCCCTGCAGTAAATGTGGGGACCTAGAGGAGGAGCTGAAAATTGTTACCAACAACTTGAAATCCCTGGAGGCCCAGGCGGACAAGGTAGAGGGGAGCAGAGGGGCAGTGAGGATGGGGTCCCACAGGGGAGGGAGGTGAGGGGCCCAAGGCAGGGAGGGGCTGGTGTTCAATGGAGGCAAGATGGCCAGGAGCCTATGGGGTGCAATGGAGAAATGAAGGATTTGTGGTGGTGCTGTACTGATGGTGTGTGTATGTCCCCAAAAGTATTCCACCAAAGAAGATAAATATGAAGAGGAGATCAAACTGCTGGAGGAGAAGCTGAAAGAGGTGAGAGTCCTCTTCCAGTTCCCAGTGTCTCCTCAAGCCCCCCTTATCCTTGTCAGAGACTGCCTGTGGTACGACACTTGAGGAAAGGGATGGGCAAGAAGCTTGACTTGGGCAGTGGTCTGTGGGAGGGCCTAATTCTTTCCCATTTCTCCCATCCTGCCTTTACCCCCCAGGCTGAGACCCGAGCAGAGTTTGCCGAAAGGTCTGTGGCAAAGTTGGAGAAAACCATCGATGACTTGGAAGGTAAAAGGAATACTCTCTCATATCCATGAGCCTTTATAAGTAGGTCCACACCTGCCGTGATTATCAGTCTGTTTCTTACCTTCTCATCCCATTTTATTTGCCACCAATAAACTAGGGTTGAACCACCCAGCCTAGGACTCTACCAACTCCCCAATTCTGTGGGCCATGTCTACAATTCAAGTAATTGTAGCTGTCCACAGGGCAACAACTCCAGTGCTTCTCAAATTTCAGCATGCATGAGAATCACTGGGAGAGTTTTAAAAACAGATTCCTAGGCTCTGCCCCAAAGTGATTGCTGACTTTCGGCTGGAGGATTTGCATTTCTAGCCAGCTCTCTGGTGCTGCCAATGCTGCTGGTCCCCAGGCCACACTCTGAGTGGCTCCCATATTAGATGATTCTGTCCCTGAGTGTAACACAGTAGAGTTCTAGCACAGAGACTGCCTTATTAACTAGAGAGCTTTTGATTGAACATTTAGGTCTGCATGTCAACATTAATAGAAAATACAATTTTAAGCTAGATTGGACAAAAACAAACATCAGATATTTGTGAGTCTGTGACTATTTCTATTGTTGATGGTGTTGTGGCTAAAGTTGCCTTTCCCTTTTATTCTGTGATAACCCTTTCACTTTCCCACTTCTCTCGCTTCCAGCCTTCTCAGGCAAGCTCCAATTTTACCTCCAGCTTTAGGAGGTTTGCCCTTTCTGGCTCCAGCACACTCCCTCTCCCTGCTAAGCAAGCACTCCTGCTTGTCCGGAGCACTGTGCCCACAGCTCCCTGGGGAGGCAGGAGCTCCTGCGGGTAAAGCCAATGTAGGGTACAGAGAAGGAAAGAAAAGAGATGGGGTAGAAAGGGGGAGAAGGAGTTCCTGACAGCCGTCCAGCCTGTTCCCTGGCCTGCCGCTCTCACTCTGTCTTTGTGCACCTCTGATTCTGTTTTTCTTTCCATTGCCTTCTCTCCTTCCTTTCCTCTTTCCCTCCACTCCCTCTCCCACACTCCCACCTTGTCCCCTCCCTGGACCCCCCCAGACGAAGTCTACGCCCAGAAGATGAAGTACAAGGCCATTAGCGAGGAGCTGGACAACGCACTCAATGACATCACCTCCCTCTGAGCCCCATGCCAGTGTGGCCACCTCAGCCCTCTTCTCTCCTCTCCTTTCCATTCTTTCTATGGGGAAGGGAGCAGGCAGGAGGAGCAGAAATTGCCAACATTGCACAGCCAGGCTGGGAGCAGCCTAGGGAGAACCTCCATCATGTCCACCACCCACTCTGGCACTGGCTTCATCCTTTACCTATCCGCCTCCATCCCCCTTCGCTGCTCAATAAACTCTGAACTTGGTCTCCATGCTGTTTTCCTGCCCTCCAGAGAGCACCTCTATCACCACCACGGAGCACTGGTTCACTCCTGAGACCCTGGCTCTTACAGACACCCCCACCCACTGCACTGAGCCCACCCACCAAACAATATGGCCCACTCTGAAACCCCTCTGCACGGGCACTCCCAGGCTGTCACTCTCTGACTCACTGCTGCATGCGGGCACATGTGACCCTGTCAAACACCATGACCCCCTCTGGTGCCAATCACTGACCTCAGAGTACTTAGCTGGGGTTCCAGGATCAAATAGAGTGACTGGAAAGGAAATGGGATGGTGAGGTACAGGGCAGGGGCAAGAAGGTGGCAAAAGGGCTGGAATGGAGCTTGGAAACATGTTGGATGTCAGCAACATGGGGCTTTCACTGCATCAGCAGGTCTGTTTTCTACCTCAAGTCTGTCTGGCCCTCCCTTTCCTGGCTGAGTCTTTGTCTTACCTTCTGTCTCCAACTTTCTTAAATCTTCTAAAGAAGAGGATAAAGCAGTTGATGACTCAGGCCTCCCCACCCCCACCTCCATGACCACAAGGCCTTGAGGTATCCACGTCCATCCTCTTCCCCTCATCATGGTCAATCCAACCATTTGCCCCTGCCATGGGGCCTTGGGGTCCCTGAATGTATGTGTCTTTCTGTGTCTCCTGACCCACTCCATGTCTATATGTCACCTTCCCTGCCCCTGCCTCCCCACATCTCCCCCTCGTGTCTCCCTCCCACCTCACCTGCCGCTTCCCCTCACAGAGACCTTGGCCAGTGCCAAGGAGGAGAATGTCGAGATTCACCAGACCTTGGACCAGACCCTGCTGGAACTCAACAACCTGTGAGGGCTGGCACCGCCCCCAGCCAGGCTATGGTTGCTGCCCCAACCCAATAAAACTGATGTTACCAGCTTCTCAAGGCCCTTTAAGCCTTTCTTTGGTATTGGCAATGGAGTTTGAAGGACCCCTGAATGAGCAGGGCCTGGGTCCTTGCTCTGCAGTGGGACCTCCTTTTCAGGGAAAACTGTGGGATGCGGGGGCCTAGGCTTATTGAGAAGGGGCTGTGAATAGGCCATATGAAGCAGGAAGTCTGATAGGTCTGGGGGACATCGTGGCCCTTGTTCCCTACAGGCAGAGGAGTTGCTATCCACAGCAGCGCCCTGTTCCAGCAGGCAGCTGGGCCAGACGGCACATCCTGAAGCAAAAACTGCAAGAAGTGACACATTTTCCTTGAGCAGGGTGAAAACCCAAAAGCCTGAGTGTGATGTTAAGCCTAGGGCTGCTCTCTGCCCTACCCATCAACACATATACTGCACACACACGGCCATCCCAGCAGGATCAGTCATTTCTGTCCTCTTCCTGATAACATCTGTGGTAGGCAGAATAATTCCCCTTCTCCAAAGATGTCCATGTTCTAATCCTGTGCAATATTGTTATTTTTTTTT